GTCACCCTCAGGGACTAGCAGCATGGAACAGAGATGGGGAGCAGCCTCGGACAGGAAAGCAAGCTCGAACTGGCGGTCCTCCAGGACGTCACTGCCAAGGGCAGGAGCACCCCCGACAGACAGAGGACACGCAGGGTCAGAGACCAGAGCTGTGGCGTAGTCAAGGCGGCGGGTAGAGGCGAAGTCGGCGACCGCAGCGACAAGAGCGTCAAGGCACGAGACCGGAACAGACGGGTCGGTAACGAGAGAGGCAAGGACGCGACGAACAAGAGGACGAGCGGCACGAAGGTAGTCAGACAGCGGGGGGGGTGCAACAACAAGGGAGGACGGAGGAGGCGACGGCAGAAGGGGAGGACGAGACGCGTGGGAACGAAGCAACATAGGGTGGGAGCGCAAGACAGGCGAGGCAGGACGAGCACGGGAGGGACGGTGAGACCAGACGTGCGACGGAGGAGTCGGGTCAGGAGACAGGGGAGGGGACACAGGAGGGGAACGAGGGGGAAGACGGGCCGGGGACGAGTCCGGCGGAGGGAACACAGGGCCGTAGACGGGAAGAGGAGGAGACGGTCGGAGAGGAACAGACGCAGGGTCGGGGGACGGAAGGCCGAGCAGGCGAAGGGCTGACACCGGCGGGGACTGCTGCTGCGGCGGCACAACGGCGACACCTGGACCACAAGCTGCTCCTCGGCTACCACCGACACACTCCACACCAGCACCCCCAAAGGACCACCCGCAGGGCGACCAGGACGAGCACCCCCAGAGTCAGCGAACGGGTGCTGGGACGGCGGCGGCGGCAGCGACAACGACGGCTGCAGCGGCGGCAGAGGCGGTGGAGGAGGGGACTGGGGAGGGGACGCCGGGGGAGGGGCGGCCGGCGAGGACTGCGCAGCAGGGCCACCAGAGTCAGAAGACTCCTCAACCGGGTCTACCGATGGAAGGGGGGTGACGTGGGACACACCAGAGGGGGCAGGACGGGGAGGAGTAGGAGGAGGGGCACGAACTACCGGGGAAGGAGTGACCAGGAACAGGGGGGGGGTAACCGGGGGACCGCGGTGGGGGAAGCGACGGTAGTAGGAGACGGACTCGTCAAATGTGACGTCGCGAGAGTGAAAGAAGCGGTGAGACGGCGGGTGGTAAAAGTGCCAGTCGGACGCGTCAAGGGGAAAACCGAGGAAGACGCAGGGAAGGGTGCGGGCAGTGAGCTTGTCCGTGCTGGAGGCACGGACGTGAGCAAGGCAGCCCCAGACGTGGAACGCAGACGCGTCACCAGGAGATCCAGTCCAAAGACGGGTTGGCGAAACCTGCGGCTGCTGAGGGTGCGGCCACAAGTTAAGCTGGTGAGAAGCGTAGCGCACAGCGAACGGCCACAGAAAATGGGGTGCACCGGCATGGATCATGGAGGTGCGAGCCACCTCCATGACCAAACCGATGCGTCGCTCAGCGACCCCATTCTGCTGTGGGGATTCCGGTAGGGTGAACCTCTGGGTGATGCCCTCCGCACGACAAAAGCGACCAAGGACACCTGAGGCAAACTCGCCACCACGGTCGGAGTGAAGACCCAAGACAGGGAGACCGCGGTGGACACGCGCAGAGACAAGCCAGGGGATGAGAGCGCCAGGCACGTCGGCCTTGCGCTCCAGGGGAAAGAGTGTGGTGTATCGAGTGAAGTCGTCGACAAGCACAAGGAAGTAGCGCTCTCGACGCGGCCCAGGGACGGGGGCGGGGCCCCAGACGTCCAGGTGCAGGGTCTGCAGCGGCGCGGCGGTAGGGGGAGACGAGGAGGAGTGAGGGGCACGGCGAAGCCGACCCTCGACACAAGGCGTGCAAGGTGGGGCTGGGGAGGAGGGAAACGCGGGGAGAGAACTTGGGAGACCAAGGACAAGACCGTGCTGGGACATGTGACGCAGACGCGGGAGCGCAGGGTGACCTAGGCGGTGGTGCCAAAGGAGAGTCGGGTGAGTGAGGGACCGACAGGAGCAGGCAGCAGCAACCTGGGTGAGCGCTCCAGCCGGGGGGGTCACGGTGTCCAGAGTGAATAGGCCGGACACCGGGTCCCGGGGGAACGTGGACAGGGGGGCACCAGTGGCGGCCTCAGTACATACAGCATACCGCTCGTGACCAGGGAACGTAGTGGTGACGCCAAGGTCCTGGAGGCAACCGACACCAACTAGGTTCCTGGAGAACGAGGGGATATGCAGACCTGTGAGAGTGCCCGAAGGAACCGCCGGACAGGGAAGGGTGGTAGAACTGCAGGCGACTACCGGACCGCTGGAGGGGTCAGCAAGAGAAACGGCAGCACGAACAGGAAGCGGCGTCATGGTGGTAAAGTCGCGGAAGAAACACCGGGAAGCGCCAGAGTCCAGGGTGAAGGAAAGCGAAGCAGAGGCGTCTGGCGACGGAACGACGGCGGAAGCACCAAGGCTACACAAAGCAGGGGATCCTACACCTGAGGCAGCAGGGGAGGCTAAGCTAGGCACACCTACACTAGCCGACAGTGAGTAATAAGCGGGAAGCACACTAGAGTCATCAGCATACATCACATGCAGAGCAGAAACAATGGCATTCCTGTCCATGTCAAAAATCTGAATCTTACGACTAAGCAAACTGTGCCAGTCCGGAAGGTCTGGCGACGGGCCGAAGCACTGACGAAAGAGGTCGTCCAGGCGACGAAAACAGCGGGGAGTGGAATGACCGATCTTACCGCAAACGAAGCCGTCGCGCCCAACTTTGGGGCGGCGGCCCTTCCCCGAACGAAACTGCGCTGCAGCAGCGGTCTCAGCCACTGCGGCAGAGCCGTCGGAGAAGGTACACTGAGCAGGGGCACAACCCTGAAAGATAGGGACCGGCACGGTACCGCTCGCCTGGGCGATGGAGCGGTGGCGGGTCTCAATCACAGTCAGGGTGTCTACAAAGTCAGTGAGGGTGAGGTCTGCGGGGTGAATGCTAATGAAGTGGTCGCGGGCGACAGCAAGGCGGTCAGGGAGGCGGGTGGCAAGCAGGTAAAGGGTAGAGGTAATGGGCGGCTGGTGGGCTCTAAGCTGTGCGTCAGTGCAGGCAGCGCGCCAGGTCTCATCTATCGAGCGCAGGTGGGCAGCGAGGTCAGAGACAGTGGGGAAAGATGCAAGGTCAGGAAAGAGCATCGGGAGGATCAGGCGACCCATCGAGGCAGCCGGAGGGGTGGAATAGCGCTTGATGACAGCATCTAAGTATGCCTGAGCAATAGTGAGGGACCTAAAGCGAGGGCGCTCGGACGGGGGAAGGGAATTGCTAATGGCAAGCTGGGCGACAGCATTGCGAGAAAGCCAGACAGAGCGCGCACGGGTAGTGGCAGCAGTAGACTCGCGCTCACTGGGTGTGGAGTCAGCGGGTAGAATAGCAGGGGGGTCTGGGCAGGGGAGCGTACCGTCAAGGTGTGCGGAAAGCGGTTCACCGTCCTGCCGCTGGCCAGTGAGTTGGCGCCGGAGGTCGGCAAGCCACGCCTCGAACTCCAGAGGCTGGCCTTCAGCGTCGAAGCGAAGCTCCGCCGCCATCAGGGGCAGTGCAGGACGGGACAGTACGGTGCAGTGAAGTGCAGTGCAAAGCAGAGCAGTGCAGGGCGGTGCAGTGCGAGGCAGGGCAGTGCAGTGCGGTGCGGGGCGAAGCAGGGCGGTGCAGTGCGGTGCAGGGCAGTGCAGTGCGGAGCAGGGCGGTGCAGGGAGAGGGGGGGGGGGGGGGGGGGGAGAACCGTACCAGTGAGGATAAAGGGGCCGGGGCAGGGATGGGCGCAGGGGCCGGGCCGGTGCAGCGGGGCCCGACAAACGCGGCAGGGGTCGGGCAGGGCGCAACGGGGCCGGGCGGGTGCGACGGGGCCGGGCCGGTGCAACGGGGCCGGGCGGGTGCGACGGGGCCGGGCGGGCGCGACGGGACCGGGCAGGTACGACAGGGCCGGGCGAGGGCGACGGGGCCGGGCGGGTGCGACGGGGCCGGGCGGGTGCGACGGGGCCGGGCGGGTGCGACGAGGCCGGGCAGGCGCGACAGGGCCGGGCGGGTGCGACGGGGCCGGGCGGGTGCGACGGCTCCGGGCCGGTGCGACGGGGCCGGGCGGGTGCGACGGGGCCTGTAGGCGTGACGGTGGCCCAGGAGGGGCACTACGGGGCCCAGGAGGGGCTCAACGGGGCTGTGCGGGCGCGACGGGGCCGGACGGGTGCGACGGGGCCAGGCGGCTGCGACGGGGCCGGGCAGGGTGCGACGGGGCCGGGCGTGTGCGACGGGGCCGGGCAGGTGCGACGGGGCCGGGCAGGGCGCGACGGGGCCTGAAGGCTTGACGGGGCCCAGGAGGGGCGCTACGGGGCCCAGGAGGGGCACTACGGGGCCCAGGAGGGGCCCAGGAGGGGTGCGACGGGGCCCAGGAGGGGCACTACGGGGTCCAGGAGGGGCCCAGGAGGGGCGCGACGGGGTCTAGGAGGGGCACTACGGGGCGAGGGGCGCAGCAAGGCCCGGGAGGGTCGCAACGGGGCTAGGAGGTCGCGACGGGGCTGAGGGTGTCGCGACTGGGACTAGGGGGTCGCGACGGGGCCCAGGAGGGGAGCGGCAGGGCTAGGGGCACGACGGGGCCCAGTGGGTCGCGACGGGGCTAGGGGGGAGGCACGGCGGGGCCTAGCTAGGGGACGAGCGGAAGCGGTAGGTGGGGGTATCCTAACCTACGCGTGATACCATATCAAACTGAGAGAAGTGAATGGTCTGGTAGAGGGAGAGTACAGATAGATATACCTAAGTATTGTACCCTCTAAGAGGTGACCCTATACAGTCTATGCAAACATAACAAATACACATGTTTGACAATTTTTAGAATGTGTTACACACTTTCAAAAAATTACATGCAGTGCATTTGCATGGAGGCAAACGGGTGTAGTTTAGAAACAGCTTACATCAAAACATGAGCTGTGGCGTTATTCATTCAGCTGCTGTTTGCTGACTATTATCATTCTAATTATTGGTTCTTCGAAGAGGCAGTGGCTCAAACAGAGTGTTCAAGCTTGTAAGGAAACATGCAATTGGCAAGTGAAAAAGATGAGCATGACATACCACCATATGCCAAGGGTAGTAGCACACCCAGCCACAGGAAGAGGGACAGGCAAGGCAAGCGGTCTGTAACACATTTCCTTCTGGTCTGTACAGAAAAAAGGGTGGCCAGAAGGTAAACGAAAGAGTAGAAGACTGACAGTGGGAATGTGGGAATGAGAAAGGACAGAGTACAGTAGAACTAACACTAAGGGCAGGGGGAAGAAAAGGCTATCCAATACGGCGCTCTCCCTACTTCATGTGCCCTCTAAGCAGTCGCTGGTTCAGCTTGCGCTGCAGCCGTCTGCCCCCCCGCTTGCCCTGTGATTGTCTCCTCTCCCTCTGTCTCTGTCTCTGACTCTGTCTCGCCCTCCTGGCCTTGCTCCAGGGTGACCTGTGCCAACACCTCCGATGAAACCACCTGAGCCACCACAACGCTGATGTCATCCTGCTTGCCGCCCGACAGCTTCTTCCCCATCATCTTCTGCCACACGGGTAGATCCCGGCCCTGTGACGGGTTAAGGGTGCAGGAAACAAGCGAAACAAGGTGGAGAAAAGAAAGAAAGCAGAGGGGGGGTGGGGAGGGAGGGGGGGAGGGAGACAGAGGGAAAGAAGTAGGTGTAAGACAAGGCTGGGGCGTAGAGTAGGGAAACAGAAGCGGGGAGGAATGGTAGGACGAGAGCAATGATAAGTAGCGCACGAGTGGAGGTGTTAGTGAGCGATCTGGAGGGGTGAGTGGATAAGGGATCAGTGAGAGGAAGGGAAGAGGAGCGCAACAAGATAGAAAGACGCGCATGTGTGGGTGGGCTTGGAGTTGCTTAGAGTTTACTTGACAGCACAACCGGGACTCACATGCCACCGCACACATGCACAAAATCCCCACTTTCATGTGCATTAGCCCCTCACACCCATAGTAACCCCACTCACATTCACATCAGAGCCCCACTCACATTCACATCAGAGCCCCACTCACACTCGCTATCACCCCTGCAGTATCACGAAGCGCCTGGAGACAGCACTTACATGTTCCAGCGCCTCGATGGTGTATGGAGCCATGTACTCCTTGTCACCTGCATGCTTCGCAGCCAGTGAGGCTAGCGCGGTCGCTGGGGCAGACACGGGGGGTGGTTGGGAGGTGTTGGAAAGGAAAATGAGGAGGCACGAAAGGGCATGTGGGAAGAGATGAGCAGTACTGGGGCAACACAGACACGCATGAGTGTGGCTGTGTGCCAAGCACACCGGTGCGCGAGACGTGTGCGGGGGTGGAGCCGGAAAGGAACAATTCAGTGGATGCAATGCCAAGGTCAAGCACACTGTTAGATGTGCTTTCAAGTAGAGTGGACTCATAAGCTGCCTCACCAGTGCGGGAGACGTGTGCGGGGGAGGGACCAGAGAAGACTTTGACGATGGAGGCGATGTCCTTGTCAAACACGTTGTCAAAGAGCCCGTCCGAGGCCATCACCACCGTGTCGCCCTCCTGCACGCTGAAGCTCAGCACCTGGGGCGACAAAAGGAGGGGGGAGGGAGAGAAGGGGGGGAAGAGTGGAGGGGGAGGGGTGGGAAGCACAGGCCAAGGCAAGTAAGGGGTCTGCTCATCTGATGCCATCACCACCATATAGCCCTCCAGCACGCTGAAGCTCAACACCCAGAGGGGAGAGAGGGTGGAGGGGAACAGGAGGGGCGGGAAGGGAGGGGGAAGAAAGGTAAGGGGAGGAGGTAGGCGGGGGATCGGGCAAGGGAAAGAAGATGGGAGTGGACGCTTAAAAGATTGGATAACACGGGAAAAGGGAAGAAAGGACTGGTGAAGCTCGTGTGCTGCTAGGGAGTGCTGCCAGATGAATGCTCGAGCATGGGTGAATGGGCAACTTGTCAAATCAGCATGACCCTCATTCATTCCTCATCCCTCCCCCTCCCCCTCCCCCCTCCGCCCTCCGCCCGACGCCCTCACCTCAGCATCATCAGCGGAGTCAGAGCTTTCAGAGCCGAACTGGAAGGGGCAGTCGAAGAAGTGCTCGTGCGGTGTGGTCCTGTACACCACCTCGCTGCCCCGCACCACGCGCACGCCCGCATCACCCAGCGACGCCACGTTCAGCACGCTGTACTCGCCGTCAAACACCGCCACCACACTGCGATACAGGGGTAAGAAAGGGCGGGGAGTCGCGCGAAAGAGAGCGGGAGTTAGGTGGGGGCTGGGGAGAGCGCTGTCTCGTGAGGCGCTGTCTCGTGAGGCGCTGTCTCGTGAGGCGCTGTCTCGTGAGGCGCTGTCTCGTGAGGCGCTGTCTCGTGAGGCGCTGTCTCGTGAGGCGCTGTCTTATGAGGCACCTCCCCGTTCGTCACACGCGCAGAGACCCCTGCATCCCGTATTCAGCCTGCAATGAGCATACTGAACTCGCTGGCAGGGGGTAATGGGTAGTGGGAGGCAAGGAGATGAGGAGGGGAGGAGAGGAGAATAGCAGAGGCAGTGAAGCGAGAAGAAAGGGAGACACACTGCAAAAGGGCGGGGCGGGGGAGAGGGAGCGGGTGGGGGGGGGGAGGTGTTTGGGGGGTACTCGGTCGGCACTCACGCTGTGGCGGCGCCTGGAGCCTTTGTCATGCTGTGCGCCCGTCTCAAGAGCTCCCGTGGCTCCAAATCAGCCTGCACGCACGCATGCATGTATGCAGCAACAGTCGTAGCCAGCCACGCACACAGCCATGCACCATGCACAAATGGGTACAGACATAAATGCGAAATGTATAGATGAGTAGACGCGCATAGGCACGCAAGCGCATCTGAACCTACACTGGCATGAGCCGCGGCCCCATCATATCACTGCGGTGCATAAAAGGATCCCTTGTGTCTTCCTGGGGTTTCCACTTGACGCCCCTGACTGGCTGTTCTACCACCCGTCACACCACCGCTTCAACCGCTCTCTAACCTTACCTTCGACGAGACACTTCCCTACTACACTTGCTTCCCTCACTGTGGCTGTTGTGTCCCTCCTCTCTTCCTTGCCCCTACCCCGACTACCCCCACCCCTCCCACCCTGCCCGGCCCCGTCTGGTGTCTCTCACGCCACCCCGTTCCCCTCGATTTGCCCCCCCCCAGTTGGTCCCGTGCGCCCCCCCACCTGGTCCTGCGCATTCTCGATGATCTCGTTCAGGTGCCCCACGAACTCGTTCGAGTACAGCGCCGGATCCACGCCGTCCTCCGCCCACCTGGGCGGGAGGTGGGGGGAAGGGAGAGAAGGCGGAAGTCAAGAGGGGAAAAACGTGAGGGGAAAACGTGAGGGGGGTAAGCGCCCCTGCGCCCACGCCAATTTCAAGAGTCACACAAACCGAGACGGAATCTTTTGGTCGCGTCTAAAAGCGTCTGGAGTCCTCTCAGTAGTCGTCTCCTGTGCCTTGCTCCCGGCCCCTCAGCTGCTCCTTACCCTCCCTCTCCCCCCGCCACCGCCCACCCCCCCCCTCCCCCACACCACCACCACCCGCCAATCCCCCACGCCCCTTCCCCCCTCACCTACCCGCCCACGCCGTCGGTGACGGCAAGCACCCCCGCGCCCACGTCGCTGACGAGCACGGCGTCCTCGCCGCCCTTGTCCACCTGGGGGCAGAGAACGGGGGGGAGGGGAGGCGGAGGGGGCGGAAAGGGAGATGAGAGTGAGAATGGATGTGCAGGCAAGTGAGACGGAATGACAACAAGCACGCGTCCTCCTCGCTGATGCGCACCGCGTTCTCGAAGCCCCTTGTCCACCTGGGGACGGCAGGGCGAGGAGAAGGGGAGCGGAACGGGAAGGAACGAGAGTGGATGCGCGGGAATGACGGGAAGCGCCCACGGTGCTGACAAGCCCGCGCCCTCGCCGCCCTTGTCCACCTGGGAAGGGTGAGGCGCGGGGTGAGCGGAAGGGGAGTGGAGCTAGAAGGAGCGGGACTGGATGAGCGGGAACGACGGGAAGCACCCCCCCCCGCCCACGTCGCTGACGAGCACCGCGTTCTCGCTGCCCTTGCCCACCTGGGGAGCCGAGGGGAATGGGGCAGGGCGGGCGAGACGAGGGCGGAGGAGGGGGAACAGGGGGCGGAGAGAGGCGGAGTGAACAAACAGAGGGCAGAAGGCGGTGAATGCCGCAAAGCAGAGCAGAGAAGAGCAGAGCAGAGCAGAGCAAGGACGGCGAGTGCGCTTGGGCGCAACTGCTCAACGCGTAGCAACGGCAACAGAGGCATGCTCAGTAGAAGCTTCCGCAACAGCAACAGCAGCAGCCGCAGCAGCAGCAGCAGCAGAAGGACGAGGCGGAGCAGCGGGGAGAGCGGGCGCACCTTGGCTGGGTGGGGAATCATCTTGGACGACGCAAGCAGCTGGAACGCGGGCCTGGGGGGACGCGGTTGGCGGGGAGGGGGAGGGGGAGGTTAGGTCCTATAATCCTCGAGGTAAACGACAAACGTGCGAGAGAGACGGCAGGAAGACGAAGGGCGGGGAGGGTGAAGCGAAAAAGGGGGGACGGGGAGGAGGGAGGGGGGGAGGGGGAGGGAAGATAAACGGAGCGAGGGAGCGCAGTTTTAAAGCGGCAATTTAGCACAGCACGCACGGCAGACAAGCACGTCACTCATCCCACTCACTCCTTGAGTCCCACTAACCCAGCCTCCTGTACCCGTCCCCAGCCATCCCACCACGCAACCACACCACTCAAACCGGCCCCAATCATCCAAAACACCCACCCCCCCCCCCCCCCCCCAGCCATACCAGCCCCCCCTACTCCACTCACTCGTAGTAGCTAGCATCGTCCTCCTCCGCCGCTCCCCCAGCGCTCTCGCCCAGGGCGGCGAGGCTAGCGGAGTCGGCGGCGCCGGAGACCTCCTCGTCGATGTCAACCAGCGCCGCTTCCAGCGCTTGCACGGTTAGCGCATTCGACTCGTTTCCGTTCGCCGAACCATTCGCCGAGCCGTTCGCCGAGCCGTTCGCCGAGCCATTTGCCGAGCCGTTCACAGAGCCATTAGTGGCTCCGTTCGTGGCCGCTCCGTTGGTCATGGACGCTGCTGCTGCGAGTGCGCCGTTCGCGGACCCGTTAGCAGCCGACCCATTAAGATACGCCGCGCCGTTAGTTGCGCCGTTAGCTGCGCCGTTTAGTGCGTGGAAGGCGGCGGCGGGGGGAGCTTGCGCATCCCCGTGCTCTGAGACTGGGTCCGCGACGGCCTCGAGACCGCTGCTGGCGTGGCACGTCAACGAGGCGGCTTGGCGCGCTGCGAACGACCGGCCGGTTTGAGCCAGAAGAAGTGACGCTTGCTGTGTGACAATAACGGGGAGCAGGGGAAGGGATTGGAGAAGGCGAGAAAGAACATGACGGTAGGAGGAGAAATAAATTGTGTGCGCATGCGCGAGAGAGAGAGGAGGGTGGGTTGTGGAAGACAACTTAGCCGTATGCAGATACGTCAAGAACCGTGTGGACCTGGACTTACGACTTCCAACGGCAGTTAAGACTGAAAGTCGCGGCGCCTTACCTCTTTAGCCACCTGCGCCTGGTCTATGCTCTAGTATATTCAACACCATTCTGCAGAATGGCGCAAGGGCCATGCCTGTTGTTTCCCGCAGGGATGATCTGTAAGCCGCTACAGCTGTTTCCGGTGCGCCGGAGAGAAGTCATCGAAATAAAATTGACCTACAGGACTGTATGAGAGTCGCGTGACGGTTCGCAGGTACCAGGCCGTGTGAATTGCGGAGCCACTAAAGTTATCATTCTCCTGGCGGGTTCACGGGCCTATGCGCACAGTTAAAGACCGAGCTAACGGCACCGTGTCAACGATACATGAACCAACAGGTGACAAAATTGTATCGGTAAGTGGTGGCTATTAACAAGACCAAGACGACCGTTACCTGTCCAACTCGTCTCTGTGCGTTGTTTCCTCGTTCCGCACGACCTCGCTTCTCCACGAATTTCGAGCTTTGACGAAACGATGGAAACCCGTTGGTCGTTCGGACTGACGGCTGCGCGCACACGGCCGACGGTTCTTGACCGACGGCCGCTGCTGTCAAGGCGGTGGAGTAGACGGCACCGGCACCAGAGCGGGACGCTAGCGAGGCAGCCATTGCACAACGGCGGAAGCAGTTCTGGTAATTGGTTTGCGTACTCGCGGACTCTGGAGTGCAAGGAAGGTGACGTCTATGCTCCTCCGGCCTAGAGGTAATTTGACAGATAACGGAGTGTGTGTGTCTGCCTGACACTAGCACTGCGTTGGAATCAGTTATGTCCTTCCAGCTTCAGTAATGGCCGCGAGTAGGATGCGGGCTTGCCCTTGTTTGCTGGCAGAAATGGCTGGAACCGCACAGCCAGCGGAGCTTGCTGGCGGGCGGACGGACAAGCCTGGCGGCCTGAGCCGAGCGGCGGGCGGCGCAACAGAACTACGCGCCTGCCCCGTGCTGCGGTTGCGGTTGGTGTGGAGGAAAGATTGTGCTGGCGCGCAGGGGAGGCGCAGGACTCAAGCACAGAGGAGGAAGCCTATTGGTTGAGAAGATTTTGGAAAACCCGAGGACGGGGCAGGGAATGACATGTGTAGGAGCAAGAATCGAGGTTTTGCGAAGGTCGAGGTCAAGTCGAGTCGGCCCAAGCGGAGAGGAGGAGCGGAAGAAGGGGTTGGGGGGAGGGGGGATGGACTTTTCGCACACGAACCGGGCAGCTGAGGGTATCTCCGTGGCATTTTTGTGGGCACGAGCTGCATCCTGGGCAGCCATTCCGGATTTCCTTCTGCTCAAGGAGGAAGGAGAGCCTCGTATCGTTGGGAGTTGCTAGTGGCTCGGGCAAGATTGATGTTGAATGGCTTGTGATTGGCCAGTCCACCAGTAATTTTTGCGCTTTTGACACGTCATCAAAATCTTTGTCCCGTTGGGGGGCTCTGTGGTGTAAAGGTGCACTGCCAAGTAACTGGGAGGACTCGCACCATTCTTCTCACGTGGGGCCAATGGCGTGGGGGCAGCTAAATTCTGTAGCTGTGCTATTGACCCAGGAATATTTTTTTCGGAAACATTTTGCTCGGGCCGCACCCCATAACGAAAAAAAAATCCCGCTACCATGCTTGTGATTGGTCCTCAGCACTTCGCAAAAGCAGCTCATCCGAAAGCTGGTGTTCCCCGACTCCCCACTTGCAGCAGTGGTTATAGAGGGTGCAGAATTAGGTGCTCGTACTCCCCAATTAGTGTCATTGCGCCAAAGTCACAAATTCCAAATCCAGATCGCCAGTTCAGAGGAAGTGTACGGAAATGGTATTTCTTTATCACGGGTTTTAGTTAGTAAGGCGTACACTGCTATAACAGGGTTGCCGCGCAGCTCTGCCACGAAATTCAAATCGCGGTATCCAAATGTGGCCTCCTGACGAGCCGCATGCATTTTGCCCGCCTTGCTGTTTCATGCCTAGATCTGGGCGCTTCGCGCCAATTTACGAACCATACGTCGCAGCTCTGCCGAGCCACGACCGTGTGCTCTAGGCTAGGTATATCCATGCTCCCTGCTGTTTTGATGTTCCCTCAGTTGTGTTGTTTCCTCGTTACTCAATCCTTCGACACATGATCTTTTCGCTTCATTACACCTGATATTAGAGCCAATGATCTTCAGTCTTGCACTTTCATTCCGCTACAATACCGGCACTTAGGGAGGCTGACGCCACGTGTTTACTGCATATACGTTGTCCTGGTAATATTAATTGATAATTACCTACAACCACGACTGTGTTCGCAGTGCCAGTGTGCCGAAAGCCGCCCAAAACATTCGCGAAATGGTGGATCCGTCGACGTCTAACGCCATGACTCATAAAGATAGGGTGGCAGCACTTGAAGAAGTTTGTCTTACTCACGAGTTGTACCAGCAGGAGTTGGCGCGTCTGCGAGCTGAAACGGCCCAAGCTGGATCTGAGATATCTGCACATCGGAGGCGACTGCCCCAGATACGACACGACACGACACGACACGGTCGCACCAACGACAAATCAAGGACAACCGGAGCAAGTAACCCACCAGCATTTCGAAATACCTAGCGACCAGATGCGGCTTCACCCAAGGGTTCGACGAACAACGCACCACCGACTATTGGACGAGTGAAAGTTGGCGAATGGGAGAACATAAATATGCTACCCCCAATTACTTCCCCAACTGTTCTGCAAACTGCTAACATCAACACGATGCTAGGAATTCTCAAGACGCAGAGGCCGCCCACGTTCGACCCAAGCCAGCGTGGCAGTTTGTCCGTCAGCGGGTGGATTTTTCACCTAAATGTCTTTTATGACTGTAACTTCGTCGTCGACAATGCGCAAATAAATCGTTACGATATTTCACTCCTACGTGGATCAGCGATGGGTTGGTGGCAGCAGATCATTCAGTCGCAGAAGCCGGATACGCAGTCGTGCGTGATTGTGCATTTTCGCACGACCATTCACTAAGCAAGAAGTTATTGCAAGGTGGACGCGTACAGCACGTGACAATCGTGGTGCGCGAGAATTCGTCGATGCTTCGAACACGTCAACGCAAGCAGTCAGTCGCGCGATCGCCTTCGCACGTGGCGCCAACTCGGATCGGTCCAGGACTATAGCAGCGGCTTCAAGAATCTATGCGACCAGGTCAGCTACATTCATCCTGGCGAGAATTTCGACAAATTCATCGAGGGACTTCGACCGGATCTGCGCAGAGAAATACAAGTTCGAGAAATTACAGACCAAGGGTGAGTTCCTATGATGGAAATCGCACTCAGGGACCAATCGAGCGTGCCATTGTACACGCTGTTATAATATCGAACGCAACAGTAACAGCCGTTAAGGGACGGTGTTTCGGATGGAATAGGCCGGAATGCCCAGATGAGCGGAAGAAGCGGAATCAGGGGCATGGGAGTTCCAGTGATCAGGGAAACACTTACTATCGGTTGTTAACGAGCCTAGTACTGATGGAACTTGCTCGTCCGTGACCGATGACCCTAAACGAGTACTGGTACCGATCCATGCAATCGACCAACCTCGGGTGAGTAAGGAGGGTGCAGCGGCAGATTACCCCATTTATTTAAAGAGTAGGGTTCAAGGGGGAAAATTGAAATCTTCGTGGACGAGGGAGCCAGCCACATTTTGATCAACTTCGCCACGACCAAGAAAAAAAATAAGTTACCCTTAGATAGGTGTCTACCGGAGATTGACGCCCGACTAGTCGATGGGACCCCACTAGCAATAAAAGGTAGGGCAGACAGGATTAGGGTATGCAACAGAGTTGAATTCAATTTTCGATGGGGATGCTGGCAACTACACTCGACATGTTGCTGGGGACAGGATTGGCTGCGACATTTCAATCCTAAAATTGATTGGACGACCGGCATTTGTAACATTAAAATCACAGCCGAATGTGTGACGTTACCAGAATGGACGAAGGGGATCAGAGGGGGGGTGTGGTAAGTGATCTCCGTGGCGATCAAACGAGCGGTCGCACGGGGCGCAAAAGCCTTCGTTGTAGTCGTTCGCACCGTCGGCGTGGCATCGCAGCCGTCCGATTTAGAGAAGCTGACAATAGTAGTGCTAGCCGATCTTGCGCGGCTGATTCGCAGATCTCCGCAGATATTTCCAGACGACCTGCCCAAGGGATTACCACCGGAATGGCCCTTCGACCATCGAATAGAATTAGAATTGGAGACACAACCCACAGTGCAGCAGCAATTTCAATAAACGAAGTCGGTGTTAGAAGAATTACGAAAACAGTTAGATGATTTACTGGAGAAAAAATTCATCCGCCCGAGCTCCTCACCATTTGTCGCCCCCATACTGTTCACCCCAAAGAAAGACGGCCGGTACCTAATGTGCACTGACTACAGAGCACTGAAAAGGGTGACTATCAACTCGAGTTACCCCATCCCGCGCGCCAACGAACTGATCGACCAACTTCGCAAAGCTCGCTTCTTCTCGAAAATAGATTTAGTCACAGTTGACTATCACGCCGCCTTGACTACGCTACCGCTCAGGTCTCTGACCCTGCCCGTCCTCTGTCCGTCGGGGGTGCTCCTGCCCTTGGCAGTGACGTCCTAGAGGACAGGCAGTACGAGCTTGCTTTCCTCTCTGAGGCTACTCCCCATCTTTGCTCCATGCTGTTAGTCCCTGAGGGTGACCCAGACGCCGTTGACATCGCGACCCCTCGCACCTACGATGAGGCCACCTCGGGACCTTGGACCTCTCACTGGATAGCTGCCATGGAGCAGGAGATGGCATCTTGGAGGTCCATCGGCACTTACGTCGACGCAGTTCCCCCGCCTGGGGTGAACGTAGTCGATGGTCCGTGGCTCTTCAAGGTGAAGCGCCCTCTTGGAGAGCCGCCTGTCTTCAAGGTGCGCTACGTGGCCAGAGGCTTCAGTCAGCGCGAGGGGGTTGACTTCTTCCAGACCTTCGCCCCGACCCCGAAGATGACCACTCTTTGGACGCTGCTACACGTAGCAGCACAGCGCGACTACGAGCTTCACTCCCTCGACTTCTCTACTGCCTTTCTTCAGGGCAGCCTACACGAGCAAGTCTACCTGCGCCGACCACAGGGTCTCACTGGTACCTTCCCCCTTGGGACCCAGTGGCTTCTCAGACGCCCGGTTTACGGCCTGCGTCAAGCTCCTCGCGAGTGGCACGACACGCTGCGGGCCACGTTAGCAGACCTGCAGTTCTTTCCGTCCTTTGCTGACCCTTTGCTGTTTGTGCGTTCCGGCCAGACTCCGTTCTACATCCTTGTCTACCTAGACGATCGGGTCTTCGCTACTGCTGACAGGGACGCACTGGCCTCTGTGAAGGCCGAGCTGCTGAAGAGACACACCTGCACTGACCTTGGAGAGCTGCGTCGCTATCTTGGCCTGCAGATCTCTAGGGACAGAGCAGCACGCACCATCACTCTGACACAGTCACACTTGGTGCGTCAGGTCCTTCAGAGGTTCGGCCTTCAGTTCTCCTCCGCACAGCCCACACCTCTACCTGTAGACCATGGGCTCTCCGCTCCCGTTCCTGAGGAGCTCGTAGAGCCCAGTGGCCCCTACGCAGAGCTGGTGGGTTGCCTCATGTACCTGATGACTTGCACTCGCCCAGATCTCGCATACCCTCTCAGCATCCTGGCTCGCTTTGTGGCTACAGGCAGACACCGACCTCAGCACTGGTCTGCCGCTAAGAGGGTTTTGCGTTATCTTGCAAGTACATCGGGCATGGGGTTAGTGCTAGGAGGACGCAGGCCAGTGGTCCTTACTGGGCACACAGACACTTCTTGGGCAGACGACT